TGTGTGATTGTGTGTGTGTGTGTGTGCGCTTCAGTGAACGCTTGCTGCCAATATAGGTTCTGATCAAGATCCTGTAATATGGTTTCTAATTAATTTATAAATTGAGTGCTGTAGGTGCACCGTGAGCAGGGGTTATACCTGAAGTGATACAGGGAGCTTTGTTTATATTTGGGTGAATCTTAACAAAAATATGTCCAGGTCATGTTTTAATCCAAAATAAAAAAACAAATATTTTGAATCAAATACATTCCTCTGTTAGCCAGGAATATAATTATATTTTAGGACAATATTTTCATTGTTTTTTTGTTTTTTTTGCTGATTATCATAATGCCAAGATGTTTAAGGTTTTTGTTTGTTTGTTTGCTTGTTTTGTGTTCTGTTTTTTTTTTCTGTTTTTGATTAGTAGTTGTTTTGTTTTTTGTTGTTGTTGTTGTTGCAAAACAAAAGACAGTAAAAATGCTGTTAAAAATATTTTCTCAACCTAAATTTAAAGCAATATAATTAAATATATTTTTAAAATATACATTTAAATCGGTTTCTTTAAGCAAAATGAGATTTTTGGGTGAAATATTACTTGGACGTGTTCTTGACAGGCTTTGAGATTCATCCATTTGTGTTTTATTTTAGTCCCTATATTCGATTAACCATCTGGTTTCTTTGCTACGGGAAGTCAAGTCTTAACTGAATTTGAAAGTGTGAATGGTCAAATTATGCCACTTATGGCAGGGAAATTTGATCAAGTCTTTCCTGTTACAATGAACCTTTTTGGTGAGACGTTGATGCTTCTTGTAAAAGTGGCATTCAATGCCAGTGATGGTAGTTGGATGACTTGATTTAAAAAACAAACCTGAATTGAAAATACAAAAAGGAGAACAAAATGGATTTGAAACAACTAAGTATGCAAACATAAAAATACCAAAGAATAGTCACCATCGTGTGGTTTATTTTATTCTTTTAGCAATGCTTTGCTCAAAAGGGTAACCACAATAAAGCTCTTATTTTTCATGTTCCTGTCTTCATAAACATTTGTTAGTGTTGTTGTTTTTTTACCTTCTTCTTTTTGGACCAATGCAGATTAAATTCTCGTATGCCGGCAACCATGACATACCTTCACTTGCACTTGCGTTGTGTTTACAGAGACAAGTTGCACTACATTGTCAGATCATAGTTTTTCCTCATAGACCCTTTAATGTTTTGCCCTCTTATCAATTTTGGCTACATTTTAATGTTCTTTGGGTTCATATTTTTAGGGTTCTTTCCCCCCTAATAATGTTACCTGTGTGCCATTTTTCATGTTTGGAATAAGCAATATTGAGAGATGATTGAGCTTAATGAATAATACAAAAAAAAAATTTCATTTCATTTTGCTTTGTAGGCATTCCAACGTTTGAAATCCCGTTTATGTTCAAATATGATTTATTTGTGCATTTTCTGTAAGAAAAGTCTGCTTTCTGTATGTGTTTGTTTTGAGACTGAGGAAAAGTCTGGTCGTACTGTGCCTTTCATTCAAAAGTTGTATTTTCGACTGGATACGAATATAAAATGATATTAAAGTATGTCTATACTTACCTGCTCCGATTTATTTTCTTTATTGAATCAGCAGTATTTAATCCATTATGAGGTTTGATAATGGCAAATATTCAATTTAAGGCTGCATCATTTTGATTCCTGAGGTAATAAAATATCTTCAGGTGTGTGTGTCTGAAGACCTCCATATGGTTTCATCTGGAATGAAGCCAACACATATCCTGAGCAGGAGAGAGAAGTGTGAGAAGATTAAACTGAACAGAACATGACCCTTTTTTCCTTCAGCTTTAACAGAATGTGAATTGCTTCAGGATAATCAAGAATTGTCAGGCGAAACATTATTTTTGTAAGCCAATATACTGTAAATAAATATAAAGTGTTTGCCGTTTGGTTGACCACAGAAGTCATTAATATCAGGGCCTGAAGATGGAGTCGAGGTCTGCCCTCCTTTCAGCTTGTTCCTGTGATGAATGGAGTGACTCTGGGCTAAAGTTAAACACATTCACCCATGGCATCTAAATATAGATTTCTTCCTCTGGTTGCAAAACCCATGGCAAGGATTAGAGAATACAGAGTCAGCGCCACTCTGACAGTTCTCGAAATCTAGTGGAGAGGTAAAAAAAGACATCCAATATCCCAGACAGTCCGAAACCATTCATATTATTCACTCGTTTCATACACTCTAGGCTAAATCGAGCCAAACAAGCAAAAAGTTTTAGGCTTCTTAAAGGGTTTTGGAAAGTGGAAAAAGCACATGAGCACCAGTGTCAGACATGTTTTTATTAGAAACCTTTTATTTAGAAGCAATATTTGTGATTTTAAGCGGGACCTTTTTTTTTCCAAACCACATAACAGCATACTACTTATCCTATGAAATGCTGAAAGGCATGTTTTTATGGCTTATAAATATCCACATTAAAATATACAAGATATCAAAACAAACACACTGTTAAGACATACAGTACATTACCATTCAAACGTTTGGGGTCAGTAAGAATAATATTGTGAAACACTACAATATTTTTACAATTTTAAATGAATATGTTCTATTTTAATATATTTAAAAATGTTGTTTATTCCTGTGATGCAAAACTGATCTTTCAGCAGCCATCAATAAACATTATTATTGTTATTATTTTTTTATCAAGGTTGAAAAAATATGTGCAGCTTAATATTTAATATATTAAAACAACTATTGTTAAAAATTTGTTTACAATTATTAAAATGCCTATTGAAAAGTTGTGCAGCTTGATATTTTTGTAGAAACGGATCATTTTAACAATAGTTTTCAGTATTAAATGAATTATATGTTTTGCTCAGTAATATAAATATCCATGATGGATAGAACCATCCATGATGGACAAAATGAGCATTATAAATATAATTTGTTCAATGCTGAAAACTGTTTTGTTAAAAATATATATATATATATTTTTAAATGACTGTTGAAAACAGTTATGCAGCTTAAAGGTAGGGTACACTCTAAAAAATGCTGGGTTAAATACAACCAAGTGCTGGGCAAAACAGGGACAAACCCACCAATTGCTGGGTTTGTCCCTATTTTACCCAGCACTGGGTTGTATTTAACGCAGCATTTTTTAGAGTGTAGGTGATTTCGGGGAGGCTAGCAATAGCAAGCGAGCTTTGAAAGCATAAGATCCCACCCTCCCTGCAAATCACTCTCCAAATCCACGCCTCCTCCAAAACACATGAACGTGCACAGGCAGAGCAGAAGCTGACCAGCGACACGATGAATAGAAAGTTTAAAATGACAGAATTTATTTGAAATAGAAATCTTGATGGCGTTCTACCATGTCTTTAGTTACAGAAAGAAGCAGAGAAAGGAAGAGAGGAACTTTTCCTTTAGACTTGATCTGAATGTTACATAGCCTTGGTCAGTAATGTGTGGGCCGCTTCGTGGCCACAAGTTCGGAAACACATGAACATGCACAGGCAGAGCAGAAGCCAACCAGCGACACGATGAAAGTTACCGTTGGTGGAAGGTTGAATGCAACGCTGTCAGATTAGCCCATGTCTCATTCACTGGTAAGAAAACATTACAGTACAAAGAGCATAATAATGCAATAATAATGATTTCCATTCTCGCTCGGTCTGCAATAGCGTAATGGAACGCACTGATGATGTATCATGTCTGCGCGAACAGGGTGCGTGGAGCTATGCAAATTGACAGACAGCCTGAGGGAAATGATTGGATGAACATTTTATGGTCCTACACCTTCCACAGACGATATAAATACATGTAGACCAAATTGCTATCGGGATGTGAAGAGACTTTCAACCAGCATTAAAAAAAAAAAAGTTTTTGAACCAAATCACCTACCCTGTCTTTAATATTTCCTCAATTGTAGGCACATTATATGGGGTAAGTTGTCACAATGGAACCTACTATTAAAGGGCCTACTCTATTATTCCTAAAAAATAATAATAATAAATAAAATAAAATAAAATAAAATTGTACAAATAAATACAATTCTTGTTCACTATTGAATTTAATGCACTGAATTTCTTTTTACTTTGGAACAATTTCTACTCAAAAATTGCTAGTAAATTTCACAAAGAAATGACAAGTGACACATTGAATTAAACATGAAATTTCAAAAGATTACAACAGTATTTTCTTCTAAAATGTACTTAAATTATCTTTGTTTTATTTGCAACTTTGAAAAATAATTTTTCTACAGTGTGTGAACATTATTAGTATATACTACATTTTTAATAAATACTACAATATCCTAGCTACATCTTAAGTTCGAAGCCGTGGGATTCTATCTAAAGTTAAGCGAGAATTATGTGTAAGAGGACTGTGTTCAAAATAGGTTTAGGTCAAACCAAAGCATCCTACAGAACATATAAATATACAGAAGAATGAGTATTAAGACCGTAATATGATAATATACAACAGCTTGACAGATCTGAATGTTACATAGCCTTGGTCAGTAATGTGTGGGCCGCTTCGTGGCCACAAGTTCAGAAAACATCATTATTTCATTGACACGGAAGTCTGAAGATGTACAAGTCAAGATACTGGTCATGACCTCAATGT